AGTAGGGGAATCCACTCCAGGAACAATCCAGGAGAAGAGAAGAAAAAGCAAAAAAACAAAAACACAACAAAAAAAACAAAACCTGATCTGTCAACAGACAAGACCAGCAGAAACATAGAATTATTATTAAACCATTCTAGCTTATTATGTTTCATAACTGTTCGAAAAATCCTTTTCCAAGAACAATAATAAAACATTACATTTTACACAAACTCAGCAAAGGTTCACATTTTAATAACTAAGTAGGTCAAATAAAGATCATTATTTGACAACAAGATAAAAGAACAAAAACCAAATGAAAGGTACAAAATATGCTCACCGATCTCAGTGCGGCACGTTCAAAACAACTAGACAGGGACTCTCATTCCAGACACGGAGGGCACTAGACAGTGTAAAATGCATATTTTTTAAGTTTTAACTTAAAGAAAATGAATTAAGTAAAATAAAAATACATTATTATATAGGCTTTACCTTCAGTTGAACTGAAAACAACTGCCAATCAACTGCCAGAAAGTGCAACAGTTCCAACTGATCTTAGTGGTTCTAACAGCAGAAAACTGAAGTTCAGTTTTCTGAAACTTATCACTCTTTCTAACTTATAAGTTGGATTTAAACAATAACTATTTACAAAAAAAAAATTCCTTCAAAGTCAATGAATGATATTAGAAAGAAACCAAAAGACTCTCACTCTGGCTCAGCTGTCTGATCAGGGTTGGATCTCCCGCTCACAATCAATGCTGCCAACACGGGAAAGAAGGTGGAGCCTCTGTGGCATTCCGCTCTCTGATTGGTCTAAACATTCATGGGAATCAAACTTCCCATTGGCCAGGCAGACTACCCCGCCTACCCAATCTCTATTTCCCAAAAGGCTATCCCCACTTTATGTGGGTTACACCACCATTAGGGCTGAAACAATTCCTTGTGTGATTTGAGTATCTCGATTAAAAAATATATATCTGCTTCGAAACTCCGATAAATTATTTTTTATTAAATAGCGCACCGTGTTTTTGCAATCCTCTAAAGAAATTGGAACAGCAGGGCAGGATTTTTTTTTTTTTTTTGTCATGGAGCCCAAGATTCCTGGCGGCGCGCTTGCCTAAAATTTACAGGACTCTGGTCCAAGGAATACAGTTTGAGACTACAGCTCGAAAAAAACATTTTTATTTCACCCCAATCTACGGTGGCCCTGAGGTGCAAAACACTACAACATTAACAAAAACACAACAACATTAACGAAAACACGACAACATTAACAAAAACACAACAACATTAACAAAAACACGACAACGTTAACAAAAACACAACAACGTTAACAAAAACACGACAACGTTAACAAAAACACAACAACATTAACAAAAACACAACAACATTAACAAAAACACAACAACATTAACAAAAACACGACAACGTTAACAAAAACACAACAACATTAACAAAAACACAACAACATTAACAAAAACACAACAACATTAACAAAAACACGACAACGTTAACAAAAACACAACAACATTAACAAAAACACGACAACGTTAACAAAAACACAACAACATTAACAAAAACAAACAACATTAACAAAAACACACGACAACGTTAACAAAACACAACAACATTAAGAAAAACACAACAACATTAAGAAAAACACAACAACATTAACGAAAGCACGACAACATTAAGAAAAACACAACAACATTAAGAAAAACACAACAACATTAAGAAAAACACAACAACATTAACGAAAACACAACGGAAGAGGTAGGTCCCAGTGGGAGACCTAAGAAGTCGCTGATTGGACGACAGGTCGTTTTACTTTTGAACCGGAAGTTCTTCTGGCTTTAACTTGATTGCTGAAAACAAGAATGTTCTCAGTGATCCAAACCTTAGTACTGTTATTCGTAAATATTTTGAGTCAGGACATACTGATACTGGTGATACTGTACATGCTCCAGACCAACCACGAAGTGTCGGTTAGCATGCGTTCAGTAAAGACTCATTTGAAAGTAGCAGGGCTGCATTGAAGAGGCAACTACTCTCCACTTCCTGAAGTGAGACGTGCCATTATTCCCAGCTTAGAGGACCAGGGCAATTATTTGGCTATCGGACCATGTGGCAAGTTCTCAAACTAAAACACAACCTGCGTGTCAAACGTGATGTTGTAATGAGACTGCTGAGGCAGCTGAATCCTCAAGGCATCGCTCTGAGAACTCGCAGGTTTACAAGACGCACGTATCCCTCCACGGGGCCCAATTACATATAGCATGTAGATGGCTACGACAAAACTGAAGCCATTCGGCTTGGCCATCTCAGGGTGCATTGATGGTTTTTCGAGAAGGATAATGTGATATAAGACAGCTGTGGAAAGATAGTTTAAATCCCAAGGCCACTTACCTTTGAGAATGAAGAGAACATTTTCCTGGTAAATTAATTGGTTCCCATGTTTTGGAAGGGACACATTATTTCAGGTGGCTAAAATATATGGTTCCCCCTCATATCTCTGGCAAATAAAGAGGAATGTTTTCAAATAATTTGTTGTTGATGAAGAGATGAATAAGCACAGTTGAAGACTTGTTGGTAAATAGTCCCCATGTTTTGAAGGGGGAACAGATTATTTTAGTCACCTAAAATATATGGCTTTCCCCTCATAACTCTGGCAAACAAGGAGCAAATTCTACCAAAATCACAGGATTTATTGTTGATGATGAGGAATAAACAGAGAAAAAATCTTGCTGGTAAATTAAGTTGTTCCCATATTATGGAGGGGGACCAGATTAATTTCCTCCATTCTTTCCTACCCTTACCGAACCTTGGGGAATAAAGAACAACTGTTTCCAAATTCTCAAAAATCTTTACATACACACTATGTGTTGGGGAAAACTGTGTTTGGTGCCTGACTTATTTCTGCCAGGCTTACGTGAGAAACGTTGGAAAAGAGCGATTCTCTTGGCGTTTAAAATAACAAAAAACAGCATCAGAAGATCTTGTTTATTTATTTATTATACAATTTTTTAAACAACAGCTGCCAATTAAACTCAATGTTACAACCTTCACATGATTATATGAGTTGTTTTACCGAGAAATCGATCAGAAGCGACGTGAAAATGGTCAGATCCGCCTCATTCGTCTCTCTGGCTGTAATGATCGCTCCCGACACAGGGGAACCCAATTTAGCACCTACCCGAACTTTCATTTCTACCTTTTGTTTTAACCCCTTTCTCCCAAGAGAATACTTTGGTCGCTCCTCATTTTTCTATTCAAGGAAGGTGCTGAGGGCTGGTGTACGGCAGGATGGGACAGTCTGTGTGCTAGAAGTAAAGCAAAGAAAAAATGTCGCACATCACATTCATGCAAACAGACGATATGTATTACGAACTGAAGTAAAGCTGCCACAAGTATAAATTAAGTGCGAGTTCGCTTCCAAAAAGGCGGCTAGCCTGATCGCAGTGCAGCAGAACCAGAACGACACCAATTATCCTAAAAAAGTAGTGCCTAAGGCTGTAACGGACCTTACGATATATAGCTAATACAATTCTGCTGTATTATAGCGACTTTGTGTACTTTTAATTGCATTTATAATGAACAACTAGATGACAGGACACGGTCTGGAGACCACTAGCGTTAGCAAGTTACTACATCCATAAGAAATATGAATCTTCCTTTATACTTTTTAACTTACTTGAACATTGTGGAGTATCCTCCATACAAGTTTCTTGAAGCCTCTTGCCACAATTACTGCAAAATTTGGTGACGGCTCAACCACCTCCTTTCCACAGTTCGGGCAATACATGGCGAAGTGACTGTATTCCCGCTTCCTTAGGTTTTCAATCAAACGAAGCACTCCAGCATAACTTCCGGTTCAAAAGTAAAACGACCTGTCGTCCAATCAGCGACTTCTTAGGTCTCCCACTGGGACCTACCTCTTCCGTTGTGTTTTCCTTAATGTTGTTGTGTTTTCGTTAATGTTGTAGTGCTTTCGTTAATGTTGTTGTGTTTTTGTTAATGTTGTTGTGTTTTTGTTAATGTTGTTGTGTTTTTGTTAATGTTGTTGTGTTTTTGTTAATGTTGTTGTGTTTTTGTTAATGTTGTCGTGTTTTCGTTAATGTTGTAGTGCTTTCGTTAATGTTGTAGTGCTTTCGTTAATGTTGTCGTGTTTCCGTTAATGTTGTTGTGTTTTTGTTAATGTTGTTGTGTTTTTGTTAATGTTGTCGTGTTTTGCACCTCAGGGCCACCGTACCAATCAGTTTCAGCATCAATCTCTAAATGTGACTGATGCAAGAAGAGAAAATAATGTGCAATGCAAATAAAAAACAAAACACACCGCTGGATTTAAATATTGACCAACAGGACTGCGGCCAGGATCATCGTCTTCTCTCGATTACCGATACCTGATCAAATCCGCTCAGGGCTTGCCGTTTCCATCGCAGGATTCATTTGTCGAGTTGTTTTGTTTGGGCGGGTGTTTCTGCTACGCTGAGTGTGTCAGTGCAGGCTCTGACACACCACTTTGACCTTCTATGATCGGTCAAGGTGGTGCAGGGAGGTTAAGGTCAAAGTAGGACAGGTGTCCAGGTCGTGGATAAGCTGCTAGATTTGACTAATCTCACAAATGAGGGCATGCAGAGGAAGTGCAGTGACCCTGACACGCAAGTAAACACCTGCTTACTCTGTCAAGTTACGTTTTGAATACACAGGAAAGTCAGAATAGACATACCCCTTATTGTCCCACTGTGGGTACATCCAGGAAACGTTATGGCGAGGTATTGAAGCACGGCCTTCTGGCTAAAAGTTCAGGGCATTGCCACAACAGATATCGTCAATCTATTTAGTGATGATGCTAATGCTAAGCTTGTTTGGATATTTATTCTTCTTGCTTCTGCTGTTTCTTCTGCCTGGACAGGGTGCTGGCATTCAGATAAAACTCGGACTAAACTGGGGGGATTTATCCCTGCAGCAACATGTCTATAGGCTGAACATCACAAACAGACTGAGACACGGAGTCAGGTGGGTAAACAAGGGTTTCAAATAGTTTATTCTTTGTTATCACAACTGCGGCTCCACAATTCATTGTCAGAGGGCGTCTCCTGACCCAACGTAGTGATTTGTTTAGAAGACAATGTTCAAATTCCCCAATTTTTAAAAAGTAAGTGCTGAAAAAACATTCAACCACCCGGGAAATGGAAACCGGTCCTTCCTGAAGAGAAAGGCGGCGGAGAGGAGGGAGAAGGGTCGGGGGCGATGTTCATGGAGCGACGACACGGCGTGTGTTTTCTGTATGTGATGTATGAAAGAGCGCCACGAAGGAATGGAATGACCATTCCTGTACAATATAGGCGCTTGGGCATGGGCTTTCTCGTGTTGGGTTGTACTTTTGTTACTGTTTTAAGGCATGGTTAGCCATCTTGGATGGGAGGAAAGAGACTCCCTTGAAGCTTAAACGACTGGTCTGACTGCAGGCTTGTTCTTCGAGAGATTCAACACCGGCTTCTTAAGCCGGATGCCGAGAGCACCGGAGGAGAGGGGTCGTTTTGAGGGGCGTGGGCAGCGAGCGCACGTAAGCCGACACGGAGGGAGTCGTGCTCGCACACAGCAGCTGGGAAATGAACGGGCCGATCCAGAAAACTCACAGGTGGACTGGAAGTGAAGGTGGGGGCAGTTGTAGTCGGAAACGGGGAACAGGAAAATAGCCAGTCGGTGTTTCTTGGCTGCCCATCCTCTGCCACCCCGAAATAAAATTCTATCTGAAGACAGCGCCGAATACGTTCACACACACACACAAATCAGCCAACAGGTGGCATTTCAGTGAAACACAGCTGCACCGACTCTTACATCTGTTTTCGTGTGCTAGCGGTTCGCGGTTCCTCTCCGTTGGAAAAAACAAAACAAAAAAACTTTAAACTTGACGAAAATAAGCAGCATGCCACACGAACAGACCAAACAATTCTAATCTAAGTTTTATAGATTTTCGAGAGTTTTTTAAAAAAAAAATTATGTCATTGGTGTAACATGTTAATGCTTTAGCTGAGCTTTACAAGTAGAGCATGCGCAAGCGGGGAGCTTCCTTCAGCGTTGCGCCGCTGCACTGCGGTCTGTGTACATTCAGGTATTTGTGAAGCCCCCTCCTGCCCCCCCGGCTCTCCTGAGGGCACACGGAGCCGCGCGGCCATGTTGGGAGTTGTAGGTGAGGGACAGGTGGGGGGAGGACGGGATGTTGGATCGTCGCCTCTGAGAATTTGGCCACCAAATTTCTACCAGTAGAGATGCACCGATCCGTCGGCCGGAGATCAGAACCTGCCAACTTTTCCTTCAACCTGAATCGATTAGAGGATGGAATCCTGACTAAGGTCCAGCTACTTTTTGGTCTAAATATGGATTAACTCGTAATGATTTCATGCACTTTTGTTCAGTTTAATAAAAGTCATTTGAACTTTTGAGGCTGCAGGTCAACTTGTACCCCCATTTTGCTCCATATCGATGCCCTTTGACCCCTTCAGACTTTGATTTTGTGCTGTAAACAAGTCAGTTTGTCCTGATGTGGGCGCCGTTTCATCCCAACAGTTTCACCATGTTCACACCGCGTACTTGGCAAAGTTTTTTCATAAAGACAAATTCAGAATCATAATTTAGGACTACCTGAACATTTGAAATATTTTTCTATGTCAAATAATGTTTTTAGGTCAAATGTCTGACGAATTAGAAATGAAAGACTAGTATGAATGACTCATTTAATTTAGTGAAAATTTAGAGCTTCACTTGTAAAGTTAATTAAAATGCAAAGGTCTAAACAGGAAGAAAGGAGCCATGCGATATATTTATTGATTGCCGGTACAAAACGTTCAAAAGGCTTTGACGGGAGTACAAACTGACTCTTGCAAGGTACAAAAAGTCCAGTATCGGAGGGCACCATTTTGTTTCTAAGAGGAATAAATACATACATAAAATTTTTTTTTAAAAAACTATCGAACAACCAAATCTTCAAAGGTAAAATGCCAAATGGACATAATGACCAGGATCCAGTTAGGGACAAATGGGAAAAAATCTTTAATTACCTCAATTTGTGTTTAACCCAACTCTAATACTTCAATTCATTTTAATATTTTTTTTTTGCGTTACAATCTGTAGAAAAAAAAAAGAAGTGAAAATAAAAATTTGGCCAAATCAGCAGGTCAAACCTCACAGTGAACTAGAATCGACCAGGAGAATCCTGATTGGTGCATCTCCATTGCTCTTAGGCTTTTTAATCCAGATTTTTCCAAAGTTATATTGAGTTTGTTTTTTTTTTGTTGTTGCTGTTCCGCCGTCCCCCACGGCCGGACAGGACGGCTTTTAAACACAAGGAAATAAAAGTGGAAGAAAAGAAAACGAACCACGATGAAACTGTGCCAAATTCAACAGACACGAACGCCTCGAGGCACAAGAGACTTTTCTAAGCATTCTAAGGATCGACTTTGCTGTGCAAACCAACTACGTTGTAGGAAACTCTCCATAAAACTCACAAAAATGAACAGAAGCTATGACTAAGTATATATATATTTATCTCTCTATATATTTTTGTTTTTTATAGAGTCATCTATATATTTAGGATATCTAATAAATACATTTGGTGATAGACATAGAACTCTTTTTGAGAACTATTTACATTAAAAGGTGTACATTTGTCCAGAAATAATAAATAGCTATGATGGCAAGGGAAAGGATTTTTTTTTTCTGTGGTTTTTGACATTTTAGTGCTTTTTAAGAGGAGAAAACACAGAAAACTTTGGGCCTCTGACTAAAGTGTTCCCGCTAAAAAAAAAAAAATGAAATAAAGAAAAACCCCACCCTATCCTGACCCAAACTCAACCTTCATGTAATTAATGCGACTGCCCAGTTTCAAAACACACAAAAAGTTCATCTCAGTCTCACCAGCTTCTCCTCTTTATGTCGTGGAATGTGTTCAAGTCTCTCGACTGCTTTTAGGTAGATGGGCTTTTCCCTTCCTGTGAACAGCTGGGGCAGTGACAGATTAGCGTACAACGATGTGCTAGCACCTGGCAAAAAAAAAAAAAAAAAAAAAAAGGTCAATGGCCGTCGCCCATTCACGCGGGCGGGGAGAGAAAAAGGGGAACGCTGTAAAAACGCCACCGTCGTCAGAGAGAGGCAGGACCCGTCGAGAACCCGCAAACATCTTCACAATCTCGCATCGTTTCGCTTTTTTCCTTCTCACCGCGAGTGGCAGAGGTGGACGTTAAAAAAAAACTAACAAAAAAAAAAAAAGGTCACAAAGGGTCACAAAAGGAGCCTGCCGGCTAAAGCTTCAGTCTCCACAGGATGTATTGCTGCCGGCTCAGATCGTTTAGGTCGGTCTGGTTTAGCGTCCACGGAGTCTGCTGACGGACATGTTTCACAAACATTCACTTCATCTGGGAGGGGGCGGGGCTTTACAAGAGACGGCGTTTGAAAAAGATGACAGTTTTTGTTTACAAAAGCAATTTCAAGTGCAAGGTACCATGCACTGATGTTTCAGTGGCGAGAGGGGCAGAAAAATGGGCCCTGCGTCACCGAGGAGAGGTGTGTATGTGTGTGTGCACGCACGCACACGTGTGTATGTGTGTGTGTGTCACAGAAGAGAATAATCTCTTAGAAGTGCTTCCCATGGCTCTTGAGGCGTAGAAAAAGAGGCAGTGGGACATTGTGTGGTAACATTCTCTGGCTGAAAGTTGTGTTTCTGGAGGACGGAGAGACGGAAAGGGGGCGGAGTGTCTTTCAAATCCCACTCGTTTGATTGGCACAGAGCGGAGAGGAGCGGAGCGGGCAACACCCTTAAGACTGACCGCTGATGATGAAGAAGAAGAGCTGAGTGTGTGTGGGCGTCTTTGAGCTGCTGCAGTCTGAGTGGAAGTCAGCTGCAGAGGAGAAGAGGACGGGTGGGTGGGTGGGACCAAGGGGGCAGGGTGGAGGGGGGCGGGGTCTGAGCAGGTAGAAGTGGTGAGATGGAGGTTCTGGGTGGAGGTGGGGTGGGTGGGTGTCGGCTCGGCGGTCCGGGCTGTTTATAGGCCGCAGGCCAGCTGCTTGGCCGTCTCCTGAGTGTCCTGCAGGCGCTGCAGGCTGGCGCTGGAGTAGCCCTCGTCGCTGCAGCTGCTCCGCAGGCTGCCTCGCTCGTCCCCTGAGTCACTCACGCTGCTGGTGCTCCACTCCAGGTCACCCAGCAGGTAGTCCGTCCCCTCCACGTCCACGTCCAGGTCCTCTGTGGAAGACATTACATTAGAAGGAAAAACTAAAATGCAACTATCAAATTCAATGATTGTTGACATTTTTTTTAAATGTGTAGAATGATTTATTCAAGCTGTGGGACCCAGTTTGGTTGACGTAAGCTTTCACACCGACTAACTGGTTAATCAGTTAAACACGCCAGTTTTTAGATGAAGCCGCTAAACTCCAATTCTTTCGGCTGGAGCAACAAAATCAATCAGCCACAATAAAACCCTTCAAACCTGCAGCACAGCTGACTCAGGCAGTGACTCACTCGCTGTGTTTAGTCCAGTGCTTCTCAAATAGTGGGGCGGGCCCCCTTTGGGGGGCGCGGTGCGATACCTGGGGGGGCGCGTGTGATCCTGGGAACAGGCTTTTTTTTGGCCGAACTAGTATAAAGTGTAATTGCGCACAGTAGGCGGCAGTGGCGCTCTCATTGTTACTTCTGTCACGTTTGCGACAGTGCAACATTTTACGACTTACAAGACAACAGGTTTGCCTTGGTTAGCAGTGTTAAGTCAACAAAAAGCTCCGACTGCATTCTGTCTATGGCCTCCGTTATTCAACAACCCCCAACATGAAAAAGTTTTTCACAGGGATGAAAAGAAAAGTGGAGAGAGACAAAGATAATGAGACAACAGAAAGTCAACCGAAAGCTAAGAAGAGGAAATACGACGAAGCGTATTTAGCTTGGCTTCACTGTGACTACAGTTGGAGAAGAGGAAAGACCGGTGTGTTTGCTGTGTCTAAAAATGCTCGCAGCGGACAGCATGAAGCCAAATAAATTTGCGCGTCACTTAAATATGTTACATCCCAATCACGCCGATAAGCCGCTAGAGTTTTTTCAGCGAAAAAAATGTTAATAAGGAAAAAATGTTATGCAGAGATGGATAGTCACGGTGGGGAGTGGGGGGCGAGAATAGTTTTCTTCTTGCTAGGGGGGGCGTAACGGAAAATAATAGAGAAGCACTGGTTTAGTCCATCAATGCTCGGGTCTGGGTCGGAACAGTCGCGCATGCAGAAATGTGCTGCTTCTATAAAATACAAAGATGTCAAAATGCACCTTGGACAGCAAAGTTTAACCATGTGCTGATTTTTTTTGAAATGTCAAGTTTTTCTGATCAGCTTTGGTTCCAGTTAAAAAGGATTTTTTGTTCTTTTATCTTTTTGATCAAAAAACAGCTGGAACACCTCTGGTTCCCAACCAAGCGGTTACTCAGGGTGTTGCATGAATTTTGGTGGATGGACATATGCAGAGTTTCCCCCAGTGTATTACCAGCCTGGCGGGCTGCCAGGCAAAGTGTTGTTTATTTTAAAAAGGTTTTTTATAAGAATTCAGCTGGGTTTATAGTTAGTTGATGCATCAATTGTACCATCTCTTCGCCTGCCCATTGGCGTCACTCGCTATTATTGCCAAACTATGATATCTGTTCAAGGACCTCCACATTTTTGTAACCTTTAACATTTTCACCATAGAAACTGTGTGGGCTGCTAATGGGCTGCTCTTGCGCCCCCTACCATGGAGTTTAGCAGGTTTTTTTGGGGAAACCCTGATGGGTATTAGACTTTGAGCCTGCGTTGTTGGCGCTCACCCTGGTCAGAGTCGGATTTGTCCGAGGAGCGGGTAGAGCCGGTGCTGTCCATGCGGGTCCGCTCCACTCCCAGCTGCTCCAGGCGTCTCCTCAGGTGTCTCCGCTCCCGCTGTAGCTGCTCCAAGGTGTGCTGAGCTCTCCTGTCACTCTCCTCTAGCCTCTGAACATCGGGGCAGACAGGAAACGGAGGCCTTTAGGAGCTGCTGATACAGCCGTACATTTTGTACCCTTTACGGTGTTCAGAACTTTTTCAAATTTGCTGACGCTGCAACAACAAATTTTAAGACTCAATGGATGCTCTGCTGTCCTATGAAGGCCTAAGACATTTGTAGGAAAACATTAGCGAACAAACTGCATCATAAAGACCTACCTGGACATGGCCATCCACAAGCTTAGCAAGGAGTGTGCAGCAGAAAACTAACTCTGCAACTCTCCCTGATCTTCGCTAGTTTGTGGTGTATGGATGTTTCTCTTCAGGCGGGAAAGGAAAGCTGGTCAGGGTTGACTAAGGTCCAAAAGTTGGAACAGCCTAGTATAATCTGACTCAAGATTCAAGAGGTAAGACTTAAAACGGAGGTTCATGGGGGCTCTCCATCTCGTCTGAGTCGGAGCTGTTTTGTGGACAAGCAAGGGACATGTCTCTAGATGCTGTAGAAAAGACATTGGATGTATCGCTCTAGCACATGAAATCCCAATAACTGAAGACGGAGCTCGTGGAAAAAACGTGAACATGATTGACGGCATGAACTGCCATCATGTTCATTCCGTTGTGTTAAGCTTCGTTGTGTAAGCTTAACACAACGAACTAACACGGATTAAACGCGATGTTATTTTCTCAGGATTGTTGTCCAGGTGACAAGGTGAGGTCCAACAGATTTACGTCCAGTGGAGGAACATCTTTGATGCTCCACTTCATGCACAGCTAGAAATATTGAATAGAAATGGCTTTGGGTTCATTTCAAATGTAGTGGACATGGAGATGGAAAAGAAGACGGAAAGGTTTAAAGGAAATGAAGTCAGACAGAAGGAGAGAGAACACCACCCGAGAAAGTCTGCTTCTACACCTGCAGGAAGAGAGAGAGAGAGAGAAAGAAGAAAAGCAAGAAACCATAGCAACAAACAAATGTGTTTTACTCGTATTAGTACCTCTATATGTTCTTTAGCCTTCATCAGCAGGCTGAGGGTGGTGTGCCTGTTGGCGTCTGGTCCCAAAGGAACGAGAGATTTCAAGCGCTCCAGGCAGAGCCGTAGATGTGCCCGTCTGGAGAGAGAAGACAGTAAAATTAAAAAAGGGAGGGGAAACGATTGAAGCAATCAAGCCAAACTATTTTCTCCTCAGAAACAGAGGCAAACAATGCCTCTGGGTTTTAGCAAGTATGAGTCTAACTCGCGGAGTCCACCGCTAACCTTGTGTGGGCTGAGATATTCTTGGATTTCACCGCTTTAGCGCATTGTGATCCATACTGCCTGCTGCACGGTACTTTCCAAAGAGAGGCCGGCTACGCTCTTCAGAAAGGACACATGGGATGAGAAATCCACCTCCTCCTCAAACGGTGCCAACATGCGCGCATTGTGGCTCGAGTTGCTCGGCACCACGAGCTGAACTGAATGATTTGTCTAAATATGGAGCCGCTTCCTTCCAGCCGGCAGCGAATTACTACGACACACGGCTCGGGAACATCACTTTGAACATTCGGTGATAACCGTGCCCACACACACACACACACACACACACACACACACACACACACACACACACACACACACACACACACGCACACACGCACACACACACACACACACACACGCACACACGCACTGCAATCATTGTTCAGAGCATTGTTCACACATTCTGAAAGGCCCCCAAAAATAAGCAACCACCAGTGGGAGGATGTTCATTCATCAGATAAAGAAAGGCAGCGTTCTTACACTTCCAAAATACTTTGAGGTGATTTTTTTTTTTATCAATGCTCTCTGCAAGAGAAGAGCAAAAGCGTTGCATTTATTTACTTTTTTTTTTTTTTATGTACGGGTTTTTTAAGACCCAAACAGTTAAACAGTAAATAGGGCGGCGTGCTCCAAGAGCGAGTTAATTATCTCTGCTGTGTAATAAGTAGCAGATGTTTCTCACTGTGCCTTTGTCTATTTTAAGCTGAATCTTCAGTTAATGATGTCCCCTTTTTTGTTGTTTTTTTTACATGTGCAACACTTTCTGCACTTCCTGATCTGAGAGAACAATGGACAGCAGACGAGGAGAACTTCCTAATTACTGAAAGTATAGCTGCTGAAGAAATGTGGGAATCAGCCACAGCTCTACCACTAGAGGAAGTTCAGAGTTACGGCTGCAAAACATGTCCACACTAAAATGTGCAGCGGAAACGTTTCACTTTATTAAGTTTTGACTCGACCTGCGTTTTGCTTTTTAAGTCGTAGTGAGCTTCACTGCCCTTGTCCGCTATGATCTGTGTGAACCAAACACAGAGGAGAGTGTGGCACAAAAAAACTATCGAAACATGTAATGCTCAGTGTTAGAGAACTGGCAGAGTGTGGCATAACAACCATTAGACAACATCCACAACAGGTTGCTTGAGAGGCACGAGACAGAAAAGACCATTTCTTTCCCTGTGTGTGTGAGATTTATGAGCTCAAAAACAAATATACTTATTGCTTTTAATCAGTTATTTGGGTTATTTAATGCGAAGTGTTATTCTACCCATTCAGCTTGTAATTGTTTCAGGAGCTCAGGATCATTCGTGAACGCCTGTGAACGCTGACATCAGCACTTCTGCTTCATGTTTAGCGTTGAGATGCCATTTCAGCACAACTTCAACACAACAGTAGTCTTTCCAGCATCCTGTCGGATTGCTTTTTTTTTCAAACAAAAACAAAATCCCAGGTGGGCCAGTAGGATCGGGTTCATTATCCATCGCTGTTTGCAAATAGAATCCGGGTCAGACCCCAGTGGGCCGGGAGATTCCAGGAAGGACTTTGTTTTTCTTTTTTCCTCTACATACAAAAGAAAAAAAGTTATTAATCACACAATAAAGTCCCAGCCCTAATTTGAAAGGCTCTTTACCCATGACGAAGAAATCTTTCTGCACTTCTCGTTTCTCCCTTCTCCTCTCTTTGGCTGCAAACGAACAAACATAACCACTTCTGCTCCACTCACTTTCGGAGCAGAAAATGCTGAGCGGCATCAAAACGGGACCAGCAAACAGATCAAACCCTGAGATCACATGTGAACAGATTAGTACAGTGACCTCCCCGGTTCACGTTTACATTTCTCTTCCCTGAGAAACGCCTGCTGTAGTTCGGTGTGTGGAGCTAACCACTCGATCCCCACTGTTACACAACACACACCTCCGGCCAGGCTGGGAGTGTGTACGTGTCTGAGTGCTTGTGTTTGCCTGAGCGAGTGTGCCCCGCGTACGTCAGACTCGTCCCGACAGCAGTGTTTAAATGTTGCGTCCCCTCCGCCCCTCATTCTCTACAGGCGGCTGAAGGCCTGGCACGCCACCGCCGTGTGAGTCAGAGCTATTCAAATCGGACACAATAACAGATGTACAACTGGTTTGACTGTGGGCAGAGGAAGCTTTTAATTACTTTCTCAACCCCTTGCGCAGTGGTGAGAAGCTTTTGCACGCACACACAAACTCGTACACGGAGCGCTGCAGTCAACAGCTGAGAACAAGCGTCTACTTCTCAGCTGACTCCGTCCAAAGGGCGTCCAAAGTGCCATTACATAACCTGGCAGCGTCCCCGCCCAGGTTGTTCTGACATAATAAGGGCTCAAAGGGGCAAGCTAATGTTTGCTAAACAACGCTGTCGAGTAGCACACTCGTCAGGTCACAGCCAAGTGACACGGCCACAGCGCTCTGCGCCTTATCGGCGACAGGTTATTCAGGTTTAGTGTGTCAACGGTTGAGAATGTTCTTCTCAGCCTAAAGACGGAGCCGGTTCCAAACTAAAAGTTGAAAGTCCGGCCACTTCATCGCCCTGCAGCTGAAAATAGTTTTTTCCACTCAGAACCACATGTAGGTCATCCGGAGCCCTCCGGCCCCCGACAGCAATAAATCACCTCGCTGTCCTTGCATTCGCCCTCTGACCCCTTGGAGCCGGAACGGAGAGACTTGCGTGCGAGTAGAAAATGCGCTACTGATTGGAGTCGGGTTACATTCGAAGTAAACACACACACACACGCACACACACAGGGACGCTGCAGTGTGTGTGAACAGGATTCGGATTTGGTGGATGGCGATCTGCCCGCATTACGACGGCTTTCCGACTCGCACTTTCTGCAGGATGTTGGAGGCAGGAAATGGTTTAGAAAGTTCTCCAACGGGGAGATGATTATTATGTTTTTTTTGAATCGGCGGTTGGGAGATATTCGCGTTCGACCAAACTGTCCTAGACAGACACAGAGCAGAGGAGCTTTGGGCCACTGGGAGGAAACATTAGCATGGATCCTCCAGCCGATCAACTGAGCTGCTGCTTTGGATCAACTATCCCTCTCAGATTTCTGTTCATATAAATGTCGACAACCTTCCTCAGCGCTGTCTTCTGTCACTGAACCTGCCACGAAGGACTCCTCTCTTTAAGAAACTGCTATGACTACAGGTCTTCTTTACGTCAAACAAGACGCAAGCGGGAAAAGCAAAAGCTAGTTCTCTGCGCCCGTTGTGCAAATTAAAAGGAGGAAACGAGTTTTGATTCCTGTGTCGTGACCAGCAGGAGGTGAAAGCATCAACTTTAACCTCCCACCACTCTTCGTCCAAGTGAGACCTCGCTGAAGATGATGCTTTACTGCGGCTACAACTGCAGTAAATGAATCTCGACTTAACTTGTGCCATGCGCCTTATAGTGACGTCCTCATTGTTATATAAATAGGCCAACCATGTTAATAAATTTTGCTGGACGATAAATTGTCCCAGAGGTTATTGCGATAAACGATAATATTGCTGTTTTGAGGATATTTTCAAGTAACATAATGGTAATGGCACAACCATGCAGGCACACCCTCTCAAACATCAATGAATTTCAAATTCTAATGAAAATTTAACACCGGAACTGGAAAACATTTTAAACATCCAGAATATATAAATAACATGAATCATGAAGTCTCTGGAAACAAAAAAGAGCTGGTTGAGACCAAATCACCAGACCGAAGACTTTTGTCCTCCAAAGTTTGGTAGAAAAAGGGAAAAACTATAAATCAATAAAATGGAAATGTTTGAACTTGCTTTAGTTTATCATGTGATTGATTTATTGTTTATTGTAACAGGCCGATATATAAGCATTTGTTGGTTGCTGCAATGTTTTGTCTTTTTTCTCTCTTTCTGCAGGTGTAGACTTCTAGGGCATTGACTTGTCCTTTCCCTTTGAACCGTTTCTGCTTTCTCTCTTTCTTTTCCAATCTCCATTACATTTGAAATAAACCCAAAGAGATTCCCAGATAACATTTTGGACATGCATCAAGGGGGCCACTAGAGTGAAAGTTGTAATACTCCACTTGTGAAAGTAAATCTATTGGACATCACCTCGGCGTTCATTTCAAGTGCTACATTACGCAAAGAAATTCTGAATTTCTAATTTCGCAGGTGGAAAAATGACACTTTTAAGATAAAACTGTTGAACCTTTGAGTCCGACGCCGACTTCAGTGTGAGAGTTGAGTGAACTCATTTTAAGGCAGGCTTTCAGGAGTTTATCAGGTGAATGATATTTGGTCTGTTACGATGCCAATGGCAGCAGTCGGCGGTCTGGTACCAAAGTCCAAGTGGCGCCTTTAACATATGAATAAACATCTTCACCCAATGCATGCCATCCAGTCTGCCTTCTGCACGTTCACAACCATTTAACTATTATCTTTGAATCTTTAAATGCAATTCAACATGCAAATAATTGATCTGGTTTGAATTGTTTTAAAGTTGATTAAAATGCTAAATTCAATACATGTAAATGTGTATTTACATGTAAAAATACACATTTATGCTCTAAGAAAAAAACACTTTTCTGAATGAATCAGTCATGTTCATACTGTCGCCTGTTGGCTTTTATTTTGTAATCAGGAAGTGCCTCTTTTAGCTAGCAGCTAGATGTTTTTTCTTATTTCTCTCTTTTACCTAAAATGACCAGTAGTCATCAAACGTACCTTTTTTTTTAGAGAGATGTCTGTTTGGCCCTTGTTATGAAATGAAAACAAAGGTGAACACGTCATAAAGAGACATAAAGAACCTTCGATGTGTGAACGGCGTTGGCCATCACATCAAGCGTACTCTTTCAAAAGAAAACATGTAATTGACACTACGGCTAGTCTCGAGTCCAAATCAAGTCTGTAGTGTGTTTTTTTTATCGTTATTTTTTTGCGCGAAATAAACGCAACTCAAGTCCACGACCAAAAACCCGAGTCACCATCTCTGCCAATAGGTGGCGTATCAGCCAGAGGATTACATAATTGTCTCTAATAACAGATAATTAATTAGCTTTGTCTGTTGTAAACTGAAAAAAACAAATCATTATCTGACTCTTGTGATAGTTTCGCATAATCTGAAGAGATGCTACATGTAGTAATGAGCTGATAAAGCTGTGATTTTGTGAATTACTCTTGGTGTTTAAACGAGATTATCTCCTGAGCCAGAGGAGATGGTGAGTCAGCTGACGAAACAAAGACACCTCATGTATCTTTTGGGTGTCAGGAGGCCACGGCGAACAAACGAAGGTTCAGTCAGCGCAAACCTGCTGCAGCACTCAGCCCAAGGCATCACTACAGCAGCCAACCCTGGTTAACATGATTCTTTTAGTCAGAGGGCGCACACTGCGAGCTCTTGTTCTGTCTCAGGACAACACCTGATTTGGTGTTTTATTGAGGCCCGAGGCTTGGATTACAAAAGCCTCGTAAACATGAGGGGGATTTTTTCCCTCAGGAAACTATTCGCCAGATCCTGTAAGCAGCGGGAGAATCGACGAAAAACAAGCATGAACAACAAGTTTTACTGAAGAGTTTAAATAAATCTGTGCGAGCATTTTCAGTGTTGTTTTATAACTTGAATGGGTTTTAAAGAGCCTTTCAAAAGTATTGTGTTTTATGATGTCACTATAAGAGTATACGAGGACCAAGCTATGAAAATACAAGACATAAAATTACTGGAATAAAGTCGCATGAGAATAAAGTCGTAATATTACAACTTCATTCTTTAACTTAATTCTTTAAATATAATGACTATCACCATATTACTACAAACTTTATTCTCATGTTATTTTGACTTTTCCAGTAATTTCATAGCCATTTTTGTATGAGTTTATTCTGTTAACATGACTTTATTCTCATAATAGTATGATTTAGTTCTCTTACAAGTTTTTCTTCTCATGACTTTTTTATTTTCGTATAACTTTGTTGTAATGCTATAACTATATTCTCGTAATTTTATAACTTTATTCTTGTACTGGTTTATTCTCATAATTTTATAGATTTTTATCTGAATATGGTCCCAATACTCTGTTCTACATTACAACCACAGATGTCACCGAGATGTTTTTTTAGGATGGACCAACTGGGAAGAAGAAGATAAAAAGAAAAAAAAAACTGTTGCTTTCAAAATTTCTATGAAAGGCATAAAACACATTGTAATTGGGTCAAGTCTCTACCGGCTTTATGGAGACAAAGACTCACAAAACGGCTTCAGCTCAGTCAGAATGTATCTGTGAAAATCGATCTTCAAACCATAGATTCTCATTTGGATCTAGCTCTGAATTTGACTAGGCCATTTTAACACATTAATATACTACTATCATTAAAACTCTTACATAGCAGCTATGCTATGTAAGAGTTGCAGCGTTTGCTGCAGTCATTATTTTTGTTTTCTTCTGCGACTGTCCCATATTTATTTGTGGATGTTGTGGAACGAGCAACTCATAGTTGTGCCGCTGCGTTCCTCGGTCATAGCGCTTTCTAACAAACCTTTGAGGCCTTCACACAACAACTTTATTGACACTATACTGATTTAACATTGCACAAAAGTGGACTATATTTACTAACTAGTAAACATGAGGGCAAATGGTTCCAGATTTTATGTAGAGGCATCATCTACTCTGCACTTTTCATGACCAATTATCTTTATATTTAACAATTACACAGAGCTTTATGTTGGTCTGGTCTGGCACAAACAAAATGTTTTGGTCAACGGCGTAAAATATGAAAATATTTCAAGCATATGGAGAACGATACCCATTACTCTGCACCAAAACCCTTAAAAAGAACTTGAACTATTCCTTCCACATAGTGGGAAAATCACTGCATATGCAGGTGAATGGTTTTAAAGATGGCCGCCGATGGGATGCGTCAAATCACACTCGGAGGATTTTAGCAAAAACTCTGTTGATTAAATGTTTACCATGTGATGATGCTCCACCAATAACTAAGACATGCAGAGACACACACGCACACACACACACAAATATGAAGACTTTATTACTCACCTGTTCTTTTCCATCTCATTGTGTGTAGACCTGCAGAGGTAAACAAGACAGAAGGAGAATGTGAGCGAAATCAGAGCTAATACAACAGCGGCGGTAATTACGCGGGTGAGTAATGACTTCTACATGTGGCATTGCTGCAGTCCAGGACCTGAATGTGGAGGAGTGAGCACCCGAGAAAAATAAAATAAAATAAAAACATGGCTGTGTGGGTGTGTACGAGTTCTCTGAAAAGAAATAACAAAGACGGATTTCAGGAAAGATGAAGAGATATTCTGACGTGCAAGCTGGTTTATAAAGGCTTCGTTTTCCTCCAGGCTGTTCAGCCTAACTTTATTCATTTTGATTTTAAGCCGAAAAATACAGACTTTTGCAGTGTGCCCCAAAACACTAGAATTTAAACAGAATATTGTTTTTTGTTTTTGTTTTTTTTAATGATCATACGAATAAAAAAAGAAATCACACAAAGGGAAAATATTATGTATTTTTCAGGCATATTATGTGTTTTGCCATTTTATGGCAAAATCAAGTAACCATGTGTATACTGTATATACCAAACATGACTTAAATAAATTTTACTTTGTAATGGAATCCCTTGAAATTTGGGTCTCTGTCTCTTTAAGAAGCTCCTGCTCTTTCTGAAACTCCGCCTCCAGGAAGTCATCACAACATGGCTGCTCTGGTAACCCCTTAAAAGCGTTAATGGGCTAATATGTTGACGTAGGCATCACAGGAGCTTGGGACTGCAGCTTGGAGGAGGAGCTTCGTCCATGAAGGTGGAGCTAGTCCCACAGCTGAATGGTCACCATGGATATTAAAGAATTTCTCAAACATGCATGAAAGAATCAAAGCAACACTCCAGGTTTGTTTTTGATAAGGAAATAATATTATAACACGATGTAAAGCAAAAACAGAAAGTCAATATTTAAATAATACTGCCTCTTATAGCAAATAGAAAAAAAAATGATCACGTTATTTTATTCTCAGAAAGAAATTTTATGGTTGTTTTAAATAAATACACCATGTGGGAACTTTAAGGACCACCTTTACCCACTGACCCGTGATAAAGAGATAGACACACTGTGATCATATCCCAAAGACTAGGCAGTGTAAGATGCCACTCAGCCGTTCATGTTGCCAGATCCTCCAGTGTACATGTTGTCCTGATCAGTGGAAGAGTTGGGTGAAGCACAGCAGAGGTAAAAGGAGAGATGGAGGAGTGTTGATGGCTGGCTTTGCTCCTGCATTGCAGTGGTGCATTCAGTCACAAACAGAGTAGATGCAGAATATGGAGGGGGTAAAGGGAATAGGTTTTTCAAAAAGACTAAAAGAAAACTAACTAAAACCAACCTGGGAGGAAACAGTATAAAGAAAACGACGAGTTCAGCTCATCCACCTCCACCTGACCCCGTCCCACCACGACTCCCAAAAATAACCTCCGCATTTTCAGCTGCGCTACGCCCCACACTGCCACCGACTTAAGACCCTCATTCGAACTTTGACGTCTAGGCAGGCTGTTTGATGTGTTTTACGACTTCCTGTTAGGAATGACGCATTAAAGCTCCTGAAAAAAAAAGAATTTGTTTTGCAGCAGGGTGATGGTGGATGCTTAAAAGGCTGTAAGTGAAGCCTGTTCTCCTGATGTGGCACAGAGCTGCTTGTGTGGGCATCATCAAGTTTCAGGCAGCCACTCGGGGGTGCTCCGTTTCTCGCCCGGCCCCTTCCTCCCCCTCCAGGACAGTGTGCATTCCTGCACAGGGCAGACAGCCACGGGTGACATAACAGATCTGGCAGCGAAGGGATCCTACATATTCAGGCTAGATTTTTGGCTCTGGAAGATGTTTCCTCCCGCCTTGGTTCCTGTGATGTTTGCTCCCCCACCCTGCCCCCACCCCCTTCACACGTAGCAACCACAGCAGCGCTACATTCAAAATTACACAAGCTTGCGTAATTGCTTGGGCCGCGAGTATTTGCAATGATTCGTTTTAGATCAAGGAAGTACTCAACTGGGATGCAAAACGCACAAACCTTTAGGGAGACCGAACAGAGTCAGGTTAAAGTTCAGTTTGATGTCACACACTTCAAAAACACGAGTCATTTGGTCTAGTTTGTAGAGCAAATGTCTTTGTACACTTGAAAACAGATAAAACTAATTTGCATGTAACTCTGCACTAGATACAGGAGTGACCGAGGCAGCTTTACTTTACCAATGCAAATAGCTAAACTGCAAGAAGATGCTGAGAAATCTAGTTAAGACTGAACTGAGCCTTTGATTGGTCCCAACTGGTGTTTCTTGATTGGCTGGTTGTAACCTAAAAGTCAAAGCTTGTTCGAAAAACCAATCCTAAGACTGAAAGTTGTTCTTTGTGACATCATTTTAAGAAAACCCTTTGAATTAAATGAATTCAATATTTTTCTTAGAATATGGACTGGAAACACATGGTTTAGTTTGTTAAGACAATCTTAATGATTATCAGGGTGGTTCTTAAAGGGGCAGTATTACAGATTTTCTAGGCACATAGTAACTATATTACATTCAGTTGTTATAAAAATGTTACAAATAACAAATATGATTTAAAAGAAAATTTACTTTGTAATTTACTGCTATGAAATTGGGGTTCTGTCTCTTTAAGAAGCTCCGCCTTCAGGAAGGTCCGCTATTAACACTTTAGCAACGCATTTCACTGCTCCTATAATGAGCTCGGCCGACAGTACCGCTGTTTCTTGCTAATTGACGCTAGCTAGTCTGAAGGAGCTAGGAAAAAGTGGAAAAGTCGTGAGGATTGGAGGTTTGCTTTGTGAGGTGGAAGCTTGGAAACCAGCAGCTCTGAGGAGGTGCCTTGTCTGGAAGGCGAGCCTCGGTCTATCCAGGCGTTTTGGGCAGATCAAAGGATTTCTCAAACATTCATGAAAGCATCAAAGCAACACTCCAGGTATGTTTTTGATGGGAGAACAACATTAGAGCACGATGGAAATCTCAAAGAAGCTTCACAGCACCAACACTATATTTAAACCAGGGTTTCTAAATGACTTTTTCCCTCTGCTGATAATGATTTCAGTTCAGAAAAGTGAATATAGAAGAATAAGTAAGCACAACTGCAAAACAAACACAGAATGAGAAGCTGAAGTCTAACGAGGTCAAACTTATTCTGCTAATTACCACACAAGACTGGAGCAGCCATTTAAGCCATTTAAGTTCACGCTTGACGTGTCTGAAAAGCAGCCGTGGCTCAACGTGTTCGCACATGATCCGAGCTGGAGGCGCACACCATCTCTGTAACGAAGTGGAAGTGGCAGAACAACTCATATTGTCATCATCAGTCACATGTCGACAAAACACAGACTCGTATATAACAATCGGCCGTCATGTGGCACAATTCACCTTATTGTTTGACTCAATTAGGTCATTGGGACACTTTAAACACCTGCCAGAGTTTAAATCCGCTGCTACGTTTCAAACTTTTTGGGAAAAGAAACATTAAAAAATGGGTATATATTTGGAAGAAAACAATGATGAGTTTATTAAAAAAAAGAAAGAAAGAAAAAAGTCAGGATGTTTCTGCCCCCCCTCCCAACTCCCACACCAAGATGAACTCCATCAGCAAACACTGATCTACAACGAAGGAATGTCCAACACGTCCCATCTGTGCAGTGCAGAACACAGTAGTACTGCAAGTACCACTCAGTTAATCTAAAGAGTCGGTTCAGTCTGTTTGGGTTGTTGTTTTGGAAGAAGCACAATTAGATAGTTAGATATACAGACACTGATCCTGTGACTCTTATCTTTATTCTTTTACGCATTTTTTTATTGCTTTTTATTCTTTTTAACTGACTTGATATGCTCCTTTTAGAATGAAAAAAAATAAAGCTTTTTATTGACCATTATTATTACTCTCTTTTTGAAAGAAGCTTGTTAAATTGTCTGTATTCCTCTGTAATATATTGAATTCATATTGACTGTACCGGCAGGGACAACAGCTGAAATCTAGCCTTTTAGACCAAGTCTTGCATATGTTTTGATGCACATTATCCCTTTTGAAATGAACAACAACAACAGCATTCAGCTTTTATGCTCTAATAACTTGGAACAAACATTCAGAAAAATGAAAAACTGCCAAAAGACTTCCTCTAAATCAAGGATAGAAAAAATCTGTTTAGCGCTGACTCTAATTAATAATAACCACAACATTGGCATTTTGTTAGTGACAGCGTATTATAAGCCTAGCGGGCCACCAGGCTGTAATTGGGCCCCCCAACACACCAAGTGTTTTATTTTAAATAGATTGTTTTTTAACAAGTAACAGTGACATTAAAAACACATCAGTTTTGTTTTTTTCTGTCATCAATCCTTTACTGGTCAATTCCTACCTTCATTTAATCTTTTCCTTCTGTTATTTCACTCATCTGCCGAAACTATTTCAGTTTTTCTTTATTCCTGTTTGAGTCAAATGAAACCCATGGAATAGCACCAAACTAACCCTCGTATGAAAAACCCTCCCAGGAACACAAAAACATGAGCTCCTGGGTTTAGAAAGAAAACCCTCCACTGAAACCACTTTTAATCCTGGAACAACACCACCCTTTGTTCTCAAACAGACACAGCGGTTCAAGATAGTCCTGTACATTATAAATGAGGCTCAACAGGTAAAGAACATTATGTTCGTGTTCTTGGAATGGATCATGAAACTGCACCAAACTTCAGCTACGCATCGCACACGAACGCAGGTCAGAAAACCTGGAGGTTTTAACGTCCAACGCTCGGACTGAGAGCGGTTTCCTGAATCGGCCTGGAGTCACCCGGTTTGACCCGGGAGGTCTCGGCGAGCTGCTGCCCACTTTGAAGCCGGATTGATGTGTGCTGCTGTCAGTCAGAACATAAAGCAACGTCTAAATTTACTCCTCCGTCAAACTCGGCTTGCTACATCAGTGGATCCCTGCGGTGTTTTCCATCCGCCATCAATGCTGTACAGTGTACGGATTTGCATGTCGTTTATAGGTGTTTTGCAAATGTTCAATGATAGTTAAGTTCCAACTTTGCATCGCCATGAACGCTTCAACCAAGAATCGAGTTAAAACCTGAATAATAAGGACTGTACTACCTTATGGCCCTTTGACGCGAGAGGAAGACATTTGGGTGACAATAGTCTAGGACAAGTCCTAGACAAAAACACATAGAAATTCTGCTACAAAATGGTATTCTGGCATTTTACATTTGGTCAATTCGCCTGAATCACACAGAAGAAGTTTGTCATCACAAAGAGCAAATTAGGAGAGCGCTAAAACTCAAACGCATGAATAAAAACCTGAACCTTGCATGGGCTGCTTTGTGAGGCCGAAGCTTGGAAACTGCAGCTCTGGGGAGGAGCTGAGCCTTGAAGGCGGAGCTTGTTCCACTCAGGCATTGTGTACAGCTGAATGGTTGCCATGGAGCTTACATCTAGTCAGCACTCCATCATGTGTAGTACAATGTGTTTAACGACCTAACCCTAACCCATTTGTTTTCTCTCTGGTTATATGCAGATATTTTATTGTCAGTGAATCTCATGTACCATAGAAATATGTAAGTATACTGGAAAAAAGCCTACTTACATATTTGATACTTTTATGTCAATATTTTTTTTCCAAATAAATATATATATATATTTTTTCCCCACACATTGATGTTGCTCCCACAATATCACAGCTGAAATAAATGCAAAGATATTAGTTAGTTTATTATGAATTAAACAAAGTTTAGTCTCCGCTTTTGCTTTTTTTGTGTTTCTTGCATGCAATTAATATTTACCCTAAAAATTAAGACCAGATAGGTTTGTTCAAAACGAGACAAAATACACAGGTCTGAATCAGGTCAAGGTCCAGAGATAACAAGTCTAAATGAGGTCAACGTGTAGCTTCAACGTGGAAATTAGGTCTATTGCTCAATGGGTTGCTTCTTTTTACAACTTCACAGACGACCCGTCTACATTTCCTCTCTATGCTCATTTCCCTCTCCCCTCAGCCAGCACATACACGCTACGGTGTATGTGCTGGCTGATACCTGCCACATAACTTGGGAAGTATTGCAATGTTGGAGATGGACAGTTTATACAGAAATAGATCCATCTGTTCAAGAAATACATCAAATGCTATTTTATGCATTTCCGTATAAACCCTCCTATTATTACTGATTGTAGTTTTCTGGCCAAACACAGATCTTTTAAAAGCCTGACGATTCTGATTGTGGTTGATGCAGATTTATTTCGTCTGAAAAGTTGCTGAATATAGTGACAAAGTTGGGACAGTGGATGATTTTTACGTGGACGTATCGCTGAACACATCAAATTAAGGGAATCAGGCGTCAGTACTAGTTTTATAACCAGTTTGTATCAATGACTAGTTGATCTTTTTCACTCCTGCATGTACACTTGCTGTTAGTCACCTTAGCATTCCATGCTGAGAACAGCTACCCGACCAGATGATAAACGATCAAATTAGATTGACTCAAACTGACTTCACCAACAACGGCCCAGCTGGGTAGGCCAACACAATTTAGCCACTCGCCATATATGGGCACACTGGGAACCGTGCGCTTTATTTTCTTAACAAACTGGAGGCAAATCTGTGTCATTTCCTGTTTTCCAAACGCAACCCAAAGTTTCAGCCTTGCAACATGGACCCAGCCCCTACCTCTCCATGTCTGGGCAGGTCTATGCAACAAAAAGCCAACCAGCTGCTTTTTTTTTTTTGTTTGTTTGTTTGTATTTTGTTTTTGTTTGTTTTGTTTTTTTTACCTGCTACTTATGTTTTTCTTGCTTTTGTTTTTCCTCTTGAGGCTTTCCCTCTCCCGGCTGCTGATGAAGGGTGGCATAGAGGCATAGCCATGCTCAGCTTCTGCAAGCAAATAAACAACATCGTGGTCACATGTCTTATTTGGTGGTGCAAAATATAGCCACAGTAAGCATGAACCGAGCATGAGAGAAAAAAGAAGAGGACGACTGCAAGATCTGCCACCGCTTTTGGATCTACCATGGCATATTATTAATGCCATGGTGCATGCATGCCATTTATTTTATGCAGTATTTTGATATAGTACCCCCCCCCCCCCCCAACCCCCCGCCCCTCCCTTATCAGCTTGGACAATGATGTCATCCTGAAAGAGAATAAAGCCCACTAGCTAACCACAACAGAAGGAAAGGAGGGGCCTCCACTGAAACATTGTGTTCCTGCACGTCTGAATGCCTCTGCAACATATGCATTCATTCTCTCCTCTTCCCGAATTGCACGGATGTCTTCGCGGAACGCATTTGAAATCCCCCCCAAAAATATTAATTATTACCACTATCACGACGATTATAAAGACAACGGGGTAAAGTACACACTGTTCAAACTCCCAAAAACAAACAAACAAACAAAAAAAAAACAATAATAATAGTGCATGTGTCGCCAGATGACTTGTTGCAAAAATAAAAAAAATTAAAGCAGGGCTGCAAACGCACGTATGTCCATAAAGTCCAGTCAGCAGTGGAAGGACGGCCAGTGTGAAGTTTAATCGGGGAAGGAAAGAAAAACAAAACAACAACAAAAGAAGTGAGGCAATATACATATATAAATATATATGCATACTTTACCTCTTTCCCTGCGATCGAGGTACTCGGCTGCTTCAATCAACATCTGCACCATTCCGATCGCCGCCATTTTCAACAATAACACTAATATTATAACAATCCGAAGAGGGATTCCAGGAGTGTGTCCAACCTGCTGAAGGTCCTTCCCCAGACTCTTCCTTTCGGCGCTCAGGTGATCTGCTTGTTGTGTCAGTCTTTGTTTTGTTTTGTCTTTTGACGGGCGAAGGAGGGGAGACGCGGTGGCCGTGGATCACTGGGTGTATTTAAAAGTTAAAGGTCCGGCAGCATGAAGCACCAGTCGGTTAAACACCGAGACTGCCCTCTTCCTTGTTGAGCGCCCAGATGATGATTTAAAAGGCTTGGTGGGAACTAGCTAGCGGCTGGCTAACACAGCTCAACAGTCCTTAACATCCTCAATGCAAGCTAAATAAAACTGCTAGATACTGACGGGTCTCCGAAGAAAATTCGGCTTGTAGATCAAATTTGAGGATTTTTTCCCCCCCTAGCGAGTAAATTGTGTCAAGAGGGCAGCTTTGTTTTGAAGTGGGGGGGGAAAGGGAAAAAGTTGGCTAACGTTTGCAGAAATGGCAAAATGCTAAAATAACGACGTTGCTATTTCGGTTGTGTTTTGGAAGCGTCAGCTAAAGGAAGAAAAAAGAAAACATTAGCCTCTACAGTTGCCTGAAGCTGCCAGATAGAAAAATGCTATAAAAAGGAGCTGCTAGTGTTTTAAGTTTATCCACCGTTAGTGGTTTACGGCTGGCTGGTTCTGTCTGTGCTGGTTTACAGCTAATGGACCGCCTGAAACGTCTCGTTGGACGCGGACGTACCGAATGACATGGAACAGCGACAGCTTGTCAAAGTGCTTCCAAAATAGTGCCTTGTTAATGTGGACAACAGATACCTACTGTACTATAACACAAAGCCTCTGTGTGCTGTCACGCAATTGGATGCTGGGTATAACAACTCAGTCTCTTATTGGTTAGCTAAACCGTCATTCAACAAAAATGATTCGGCCCCTAACTGAAACTGGGAGTCTTTTTCAGCCATTTTGGCTCCGATTTCCCATTGGTGTTGACGCACAACTCAAAGCCGAAATGGACGTAGTTTCCTCTGAGCACATAGGTGTGTCGTGATTGGCTATTGCCTGACAGACGTCTTCGCTATTGGCTTCAATGCCCAAAAGCAAAAGATAAAATGATAACACACCTTTATGGGTAGCCACGCCTCTTGTGCCATGCTGTTTAACGTTGTACGGCAATGATTGGCTCCCAGTGGTGTTGTTTGCTTTTTTTCGCCCTTCCCGATTGGTTCAACTTCATTCTCTCTCAGACTTGACCCATTCGGTCACATTCAGCCGGAGGTACAAGCTGCAACAATGCAACACGGGAGGAGTTTACATTTCTGGACTGAGATGTCTGATGTTGTTCCTGGGATCTGTTGTAGCCATTGATCCAGTTTGGGGGTTACTGCCCCGAGGGCCCCGATGACCACAGGCACCACTGTGGTCTTCACCTTCCAGGCCCTCTCCAGTTCCTCCCTGGTATTTCTCCAGTTTCTCGTGCTCCTTTTTCCTGATGTTGCAGTCGCTTGGTATTGCTACATCTACCACAACGGCTTTCCTCTGTTGTTTATACACTACGACAATGTCTGGTTGGTTCGCCATTACCATTTTGTCTGTCTGGATCTGGAAGTCCCACAGGATCTTAGCTCTGGCGTTCTCCACCACCTTTGGGGGTGTTTCCCACTTTGATCTCGGGGTTTCCAGTCCATATTCTGCACAGATGTTTCTGTACACTATGCCTGCCACTTGGTTATGTCGTTCCATGTACGCTTTCCCTGCCAGTATCTTGCACCCTGCTGTGATGTGCTGGACTGTCTCAGGGGCCTCCTTGCACAACCTACACCTTGGGTCTTGTCTGGTGTGGTAGACATATTTATACACTATCGTGGCACTCAAACAACTCTGTTGCAATTATTTCAGTCATGCGGTCGAAGCATCCTCCGGTCTGAACGGCGCAACATTCTCATGCCGCCGCATGAGAATGTTGCGTCGTTTGTCAAATGTGGCGGACTCATTCTCCTCACGCAAATGGCGCATCCGCGCAAGCGCAAACTGACGTTCAAAATCAAAACAAGCAAATCGCAGACAATATAAGGAACCGGGGTCCTCAGAGAAATGAAATTTGAGACAAACCAGAAGTATCACATTAATCTGTGGAGGGAAATGAGTAGCACCGCAGGGATTTACAGAACTGCACAAAAAAACAACACTTAAAAGAACTAAAGCTTTCAATAAATGGCCCCCGATTATAGCCTACAGATCTTCCCACTTTCTTACACAAAGCTCATCTCCATTTTGTTTTTTTCGACTTGTAAGTTGGGGTTCGTAGTCAGTTTGATGAGCAGTAAAAACCTGAGGTGGTTGTGGTTTCCACTGTCCAGCCCCCGACCCCTACTCACTTCCCCAGGTTTGAGGATCCGACTGCAGATTGTATGAATTGCAGAAGTGACAATAGATCCGGTTATTGTTAATGGATGAAAATGAGCTCCTTGGTTTGTCAAACTGTTGCTTGGTACACCACACCTGACCTTTCTGTCTGTTCCTGACCTGTACGTCTCTTAAGACCACAGGAGGGTCGAAATACGAACTACCAGCTGTGTATCATCAACCTCTTAATTTATGTTTGTGGAAATGTTTACCCTATTCTTGGTTTAATATGTTTATCTATCAGTGGTAAGTTATTTTCAGACTGCGTTCAGTACTGGGTGAGAAGCAGGACTCCACGATACACTGAACAGAATACCAGACAAACCAAGCAGAAAGGTATACAGAAACCGAAAGAGCAAGAAAATAAAGTGTTTGATGACATATCGATGGATAAATGAGTCAAAGATATTAAGAAAAAAAAAGTTTCATAGTCAGCACTGCATCAGCAATTTTTTTTGTATGCATTTATTAAGAATACGGCACAAATCTCGACAACAAAAAGCTCCACCTCCTACCAGGTCTGACCTGAGTGAGAACAACTGGAGGAAAAACTATTTACAAGGTTAAAAAAAAAAGACTTGCTGCATCACGAGACACATTTAATAGAAATAAATCCATACTGTCCTTGTCCTCCTGCAGGGAGGAGAGACTGGTGGTGAAAAACGAGCTGCTGGCACCTTTAAGCGATGAAGTCCAGCGGCCTGTTGAAGCCTCCCTTTCTGTTCATGTACTGCCTAAAGAAAGAGACGAGACGGAGCAGGAAACATGACATCACCACTTCCTTTGCAGCACTTGCACATTACATCACCGTTAGCCGGGCTGGGATCTGCGTAGAAACACCTGCAGAGGTGATTGGCTGCTCTACCAGCAGAGCATGCAGAGAACACTCACCGCTAGGCAGGCATGAAACCTCCAGATAAAGAGCCAAATTCGATAAATACAAGGAAATTCTTTACTCTGCTCTAAAGCTTCACAGTGCTGTAATGATGAGCATCAAATTGGAAATCATTTTTAGTGAATAAATGTACCTGTATTTCCTCTTCATGGTAACGTTGACTGCATATGCATTAACTGATCCATCCGTTTTCTTACCCTATGGAAAAAAAAAAACACATTTATTGTCTTTGTACAGTAGTTTAAAAATGTCACAAAATTCTATCTGTGTAAAAACTGACTTTTTATACAGATAAAAATAGAACTTTGCTGTCCTGTACTGGCCATTTGTTTACTGTGAAATCTCTTAATTGCTGATATTCTGCTAGAAAATATGACACACTTAAGATGAAAGCAACCTGCAGATTGTTGAATCTTCAATTACTAGAACAAGGGGGTTCAACATGTGGTTCCAGACCCTCCACTGGCTCTTTGGCCTGTCCACAATGGCTCTTAATAACTCCGGCTAAAAATGATAGAGTCAGCTAATGTTTCAAATATACATTTCATAACAAACGCTGGTTTTACCTGTTTTTGTCTCATGCGTTGAACTGATTTTCTACAACAGAATGATACTAGTTGTTTTTTTGGTTATCAAGTTTAGAAATTATGTACTTTTTTTATTTTTCATAAATTTACATATCCATCCTCTTTTGTGCAAAAGTTTAACGTTTTATTTGTAAAAAAGACCAAATTCCTGAAGTTCATCCATGAAATATATTTAAATTTACCTATTTAAATAAATGTAGACCTATATGAATAAATACATTTGTCTTAGTTCATAAAGTAATCAAACATTATCTGAAAAAAAAAAGTAACATTTGCAGCTTTGAATAAGTCTTAGCTGGACTCGGAGGTTGCTGCCCCTTGTGCCAGATCGTATTTGGGTCAACAGTGCCTCCTTGTGGTTGTGTGGCAAACAGCAGCCGCTGTTGCACTCACCTTGGTTGAATCAAAGGAACCGAAGCCCATCGTTTTCATCATCTCAATCTCCTCCTCTGTTTTGCCTTGCATATCCTCAGCTGCAACAGCACAAGAGGAAAAACAAACGCTACTTTATCGGCTCAACTCCGAGTCAGCATGTTGGCGAACGGACGAGTTTCTGCTGCTGATGACCATACCGGAGATCTGAATGGACTTCCCAGGTTTATCTTTCGCCTCTTTCTCGCGGTCCTTCTGCCGCACAGGAGAGAGCGATGAGGAGCGATGGCGTCTGGGAGGAGACCTGTCCGAGGAACAGAAACGCTGCTTCAGGATTTATTGTCACGACTACACACGCGGAAGCAGGAAGTAGAGCCGGGCACAAACGATTAGCAATCCAGACATTCCGTTCCTTCTTATTACGCCCCTATACAGGACGGCGTGAAAGCAAAACGAAACCTTGAATGATATAGTTATCTTTCTCATGGCTGTTCTATTGTGAGGACATGGATTTAGATGTGACATTAGAAACTTTCCCACTGTGGGACAATAGAGGACTTTTCTATTCTATTCACTGTAGATGCAAATAATGACAGATTTACTGATTGCCGTGATCCACAAACACAAGCAGTGGGAACATTTTCACACAGTTACAGCCAGGAATTTCATACAGCACTGATTTCAATCAACATCACAGTAGAGATTCTGTAACTGTGTGAAATACTATATATATATATATATATATATATATATATATATATATATATATATATATATATATATATATATATATTTATATTTATATTTATATTTTTTTTTAAATAAAATTTAAAATAATAATAAAAAAAATCACATTGTATGACTAAGTAAATTTCATTTCATCGAATGAAAAACCGTGCTTGATACAATTAAAAAACAGAACTTAAATATTTGGTGCAAAAACACATGGAGCCATTGTGACTGAATGTTTTTAAAGGCTCCCTGTAAACATTTCAACTGAGGAATCTTCTCATCTATTTATTTATGGGTTATCTTTTTCCTGTGAATGTTCTGTGTGTGCTGCCAGGGTTCTCTTGTAAAAGACGTTTTTAATTAAGCTCTTAACAACTCCAGAGGTCAGACGTTTCCTGTGGTTCTGGACCACTGCAGCAGAGGTTTCGGCTCCACTCCTCCGTGCAGACCTTTCTGCTTTCAGAGCTGTCGCTAGGCAACACAGATTTTAAGCTCCCTCCTGTCCACAATCAAACGATGCACAGCCGCAACCAGCCTCCCTCTAGTCCTCCAAACAGTTCTGTTTCGGTCTCATCTTGACCCCATGACCTCGAGCAGCTCTACATTTTTATTCTTGGCGTCCATCGACAGCTCTTTGGTCTCACATTGTGGACAGCCTGCAGCCTGACTGGGTGGGCAAGTGCAATTAATAGATGGAGGGAAAAAGGGCTTCTTAAAGATGAGCTAGCAGGTTTGTGAGGGACAGAATGTTTTCTGCTTGGTAGCTGATCAAATGCTTATTCTATTAAATTAAATCCAAGTTAACTATTCATACAATGCGATGATCTAGATTGTTCTATATTCTGTCTCTCGCAAGCTTCATTTCCGTTACAAAAGTCTGCAAAACTGTCAATATGCTGCTAATGTGGTGTTTCCATTAAATAAGAAATGCTATTAAAATCACATGTGAATAAGTTGTTTAATCGATAAGTCATTAAAAAACATGCCACGCCATTGTCCTCCTACCACTTCCTCTCTTCCTCTTTGTCTTTTCTGCCAGTAGTAACATAAAATTATTGACCATGTGACTTGCGATGCAAAATGAAAATGTTTCTACTGGAGTTTAGCGAAAAACATAATTTTGGATACTGCCAAAAAACCACATCATCCTAGTGCAAAAACTTTAAAAGGGATTTTTAGTGGAAATTTGCTTATTTCCCAATGAGCTCATTTATTTTTGGAATTCC